AAATAGTTAACGGTCAATAATCATATGATTTATTGTTAAAATATATTAAAAAATTTAATGGTTAAAATTCAATTGAGAATTTATATATAATTAAAACAAAATATGTATAAGGATAAAATTTTCAATTCTCAAAGTTTATAGTTTTTTCAAATTGATATTTATTTTTTTAATATATCGTTTATTTTTTGTGACGTTGGAATTATTTTATGTGGATATCATGTGTATTCATATTATTTTTTATATTTTGTATTTTTAAATATTTAAATATATTGATATATCATATAAAATGAATAATATCATGTCAATATTTTAATTTTAAAAGTGAATAATTTTTTTGAAAGATTAATAATTTAATCTTATTAAGAAAGTAACAAAAATATAATATTAACAAATAATTGGGTCATTTACAAAAAATAATTGAGAAATCATGTCTTTATCTATCGTTTTCGTTGATTATTATAGGGGTCTTGTCATTGAAAAAAATTGTCTCTTGTCCAAAATTCTTTTAAATATTCATAACAAAATTTTTAATATTTCTATTTAAAAAATGAGAATTCTATTTATTTATTATTCATAAATATTTTTTTTTGAAAAGATAAAAGATCTAAACTCTTGCACAAGTGCAAATTATAATGCTCGACTCCAAGTTACCAAGAGAAAACAAAAAAATTTAACCACCTAAATTATTTTAAAGGTTCTTTATAAATAATTTTTTTAAAAAGGCTGTTGATTTCATGTTAAAGCCCAATCTATTTTGCGAGTGGACTCGGTATTCAGCTCGCTATTAATCGGATAAAATTGGCCCAATAACGTGCACACTTGTATATTTGTTTAGGGTAAATTACATATAATGTCATTTTTTTAAAAGGTAAAGTATATAAATAGTCTACACGCTTGTATTTTGGTCACCCAACTTTTGAAAATTATAATACAGTCATCGAACTTTTAATTCGTTTTTAGTAAGGTCCCTGCCATTACCCCTGTTAGTTTTTGCTTACGTGGCACTTAACTCCAGTTAAACCCCCCATTTATTCTTCTTTTTCTCCTGTTCCTGTTTACTCCACCTCCAGCTAGAGGTGGCTCACACTGCCATCACCATCGTCACCGGCGTCGTCTCTCTACCACACCCCGACCCTCGATTCATACTCACTGTCCACTTTTCGTCCTAAATCATGAGAAGATTGTTCGAACACCCATCCCAAATCTCCATCATCGATCATCGTTGATTGTCACGCTAGTACTAGTAGGAGAGCCGCCCTATTCCGACCAAAACCCCACTAGCCATTTTGCTGAAACTCGCATTTGTTCGTCGTGGAGAGAGCCCCAAATCTTATAAAAAAAAACCCCAATGCCCCTTTTGTTTTCATCAATTTTCAACTGATTGAGTTGTTCATTCACCACATCGCCACCATCGTTGGAGTCATCATACTATTCTGACCAAAACTCAGTTAGTCGTGCCTTCTCACCATCCTCCCTCCTTCGCCCGCCGTTAGTTAAAAATAGAAAAGATGTGTTGGTGTCTTCTCATGATTTGGGGACGAACGGTGTACAGTGAGTATGAATCAAGGGTTGGGGTGTGGTTGTAAGGTGACTCCGGTGACGATGGTGATAACAGTGTGAGCCATCGCTGACCGAAAGTGGGGTGAACAGGAACGGGGGAGGAAGAAGAAAAAGAAGAAGAAGAGTGGGGTTTAATTGGAGTTAAGTGTAATACCCTGAATCCTGAGTCAGTAGTTTGGGCCAACCCGAGACCTATAAGTCGAGCCCATTATACCTCCTAAGATAGTTTGGACCAGTTTACGATATTTTTGGGCTTAAGGTTGGCCCAAAAGTTAAAGACAAGTGATGACTTTAGTTAGAGGTAAAAAGGTGAGAGACTAAAAGTGTAGTTTACCCATAGTATGTTTTAAAGGATAAAAACCCCTTATGTCTAAAGGTTTCCACATAAAACAAAACCCTGAAAAATATCTTCCATTTTCTCTTTGTTTTATCTATTATTCTTCCTTCCCAAGTGCAAGAAAAAGGGGAGAGCTTTTGAGATTCCAAACCAAATTAGAGTCAACCAAGGTAAGAGTCTTAATCTCCTTCTCTTAAGCTTCAATTTAAGATCTAAATCTTAGGTTTTGGGTAAGGTTTAAGAAAATGGGTTTTTGGGAGTTGAAATAAATCAAGTGTTTTAAGTTACTTTTGGGTAGATTTGAGTTATAAGAGTTGTATTTAAGTTTAACCCAACCTTTAGTTGAGTAGTAATTTATTTCCTTACTTGGTTTAGTTAAAGGGGTATAAGAGAGTTTTAAAGCAAATGATAAGAAGAAGGTGATTTCTAGTTGAATTGGGAGAAGTTTTAGAAACCAAGAAGGCTAGGTTACACACTCACAACTCTTTCATACCCTTAGTGGGTCATTAGAAATGCAATATAGCTAGAAAGTTGAGTATGAGCATGTTAAGTAGATTTTTACGGTAGATTGTATGTTTTAAAGTTAAAGCATGTTTTCAAGCCTTATTTATGACCTTTAAGATTTAAATAAGACTTAATAAGAATTGGGAAACCTCAAGGTAGGAAAATTAGTAAGGTTGAGCGGCAAATTCGTGCCTAAATAAGGCATGTTAAAGGGTGAGTATCGATACTGCAAGAAGCAATATTGATACTATTCATGTTTCAGGCTAAAATTTTAAAGAGTTATGAGGGCAGTATCGATACCCCTTAAATGAGTATCGATACTGAGGGTCTAGTATCGAGACTAGGATTCCAGAATGCAATTTTGGTATCGATACTCTATTGAGTATCGAAATCGATAATTCCTTTTTTCTTTCAAGACATTTCAGCAGGTGTAACACCCCAAATCTCAGGTTAGTAGTTCGAGTCAATCTGAGACCCAAAATTGAGTCCAAAGGACCTTATAAAATAGCTAAACCAGTTTTACGTTAGTGGGCTTATGTTGGGCCCAAAAGATTTGGGTGATAGCTGATCTGTGTTTTATGTAAGAGAAGGTAGAGGGGCTAATAATGCAATTTTCCCTTATTGTTTTAAAGTTGAAAACCATCCACTTTTTATATCATGTTTACATGAACCACCCTACCATTTTCTCACCAAACACTCCTCTCTTATTCTTCATCATTTTCTCTTTTCTTCTTCATTTCTTAAGTGCAAAGTTTTAAGGATTCAAGCTTAGTTTGTTGTAGCCAAGGTAAGAATGTTTCTCTCCATCCTTCAAGCTTTATTTTAAGCTCCATTTTGTAAGTTTTAGAATTAGTTTGTGGATCCTTGTTGATTCAAGAGGTATTTTAGCAGCCAAGGTAGTAAGGTAACACACTTATAGCTTTCTCATACCAAGTGTAGATCATGGAAGTTAAGATGGGTTAGAAAGTTAAGTTTAAAGCATGTTTAGAAATTTCCATGGTAGATTGTTCATTTAATGTTATAAGCATGGTATAAATAGATTTAAAAATTAATATAAATAACAATAAGAACAACTAGACTAGTTTAAAGGTCAAATGTGATATATATTTTTTATAATATTACCAATTAGTTTAGATTATATTTAACCAATTATATTTAACAAAAGTGGGAATCCCATCTTTTGCTGCAAGTCATTTTCCCATTGTGATTATGATTCCAGGCACGCCCTCTCTCTCTCTCTCTTCCCAGGCTTGGTATGTTTTTCATTACGTAAAAAAATATTTGGCAGCAGTGTCGTGATGAGAAGTGGATGGAGATGAATCTTAGCCGTGTGATCTTTGTCCAAAGATGGTGATGTTCTGATCAAAATATTAGAAGTTGAAGGGAGCGAGTGAGGAGAACGGGGAGCATTGGGGCTTTCACTTGGGTATGCTTAGTGGCCATTTTATGATCAGATTGTAATATGGGATTGATTTGCTAATTACTGGTGAAAAATTCTTAGTGATACGAAAACCATATCTCATAATCTTTGCTGAGAATGTTAATGTAAAGAGTAGAGAATAATAATCAAGCGGAAGGTTGAAGAAAGTTAATGCTCATAAAACAACTGATAGAAACGATTGCTGGTTTTGTAGTTTTATGGGCTAAAACGTTTAGTGACAGATGCAAGACTTGTTCAGGATGGGCACGCGTTCATCTGGAATCTAAATTTTTTTATATTAGTTATTCATTTCATCAGTGTCGAAATATGTGTGTGTGCATTTATTATTAAATAATTAAAGGTCTACTTTATAAGAGTTAGTAACTTGAATTTTGTTTAGCTAGATTTAGAAAATTTGTGATGTAGTCCATTTGGTAAAGAAATAATTTGAGACTCTCGAGGTCTAAAATTATTATGTAAAATTTTAAAATTTCATGTACCTCTAACAATCACTATACAATTTACTGTCAATTATAGTGAAATTCTTATCTATTATTCGTATTTCTTTTCCATAGAATAAGAATTACTTCACTGTAACTTTTCATGTAATTTATTATTGATTATAATAAAGTTTTGTTTTGTTTTTTCATGTAATTTATCGTCGATTATGATAAAATCATCATTCAAGTCTATTTATTAGTATGGCTAAAACCTTAGCCTAAATTTTAAAAGAAATAAATTCCTAAAGTAAATCAAATAAATAAATTCCAAATATATATAAAAAATATTGAGAGCATATTTTAACCAATAAAAGACGGAATTTGGGGCATGCGAGCGACGAGAAGAGAATCTAAAAACCCCGAAAGAAAAGAAGAAAGCTCATCACAATGTCTTTTCTCAAACATATATAAAGGGGAACCTGTAACCGAAGGCCTGAAACCCTACACTTGGAAGCTGATAATGAATCAGCGTCCATTGCAGAAAAAGTAGGAAAGAGAGAGAGAGAGCACAAGAACTCAAACAAAACTACATGACTACGCATGATATGAGAAATATAGCAATACATTTTTCATATACTTACCAACTGAGCTCCTCAAAAATCAGATGTTTTGTGCATCTGAACAAGAGGAACTCTTTTGATTGAATCAACAAAACCACCACCACAAAGACCTGTAGTAACATTACACCACCAGACAGGCATGTTTTCATTGTTTTTATGCTCAAACATCATATAAAAACAGAGCATCATCATCACCCACGATGTAATGCTTTAACCCAAAAATCAACAAACAATACCCCCGTTATCAAAGATGTTATTATTATAAAGTCACAAACTCGTTTACTACCTCCAGATACCCCACCGAAAAGGTAGCCCAGAGAGGATCCACCTCCAGGGGCAGAATGAACCTTGGTGGAAGGTCGATCCTGCATCCGTGGAAAATACATGAGTTAGCATATGGTTTCGACAACAAATAGCCGTTTCATAAACATACAATCTTAAAGGACCTGTAAAGTAATCACGATTAGGGGCTATGTACCGTAATGAAATTGCCGGTGTTCTGATCATCAGCACGCATGTGATAGTTTGCAGAAGCACTGTTAATACCAGCAGGAACTTGCTTTGCAATATCAACTGGTTCAGGAGAACGGGCGGGTTTGGGGGCAGCTGGTGCTACAGTCGGAGCAGCTTGGGACTTGTTTGTTGCTTGTTTCGGAGCTTCTCCACTCCCAAACAGATAGCCCAATGAGCTCTGCCCACCACCACTGCTAACTCCACGACCCATCTTTTCCAACTTACTAGGGCAGGGAGGAAACAAGCAGCAAAAAGTAAGAGTCTTAAACTATCCATCGAGTTAAAAGTAGGAAGCAATAGGAGCAGATGAAGACGGTATGAATGTAAATCAATTGATATTATACCACAAGAGGACTCTTAAACTACGTTGTTCATTAGCAGAAGTAGACAGGAAGCAAACCAAACTAACTGAGAGAACTTCTATTTCCATTCTTCACTAAGAATATTCATAGCAATGTTATTCCTAGACTCTAAGCCACTTTTCACTACTACAATGCAATGCTAGGCTTTAACAACACTTCAATACAACGAAATTCCCCAATGCTAGCCTGTTAGACTTTAATAGCACTTCTAAACAAGAACTAACAACACTTCTATAAGCAATGCTAGCTTGCTAGTGCTCTATCCCTAATGCTAGCCTGTTAGACTTTAATAGCACTTCTAAACAAGAACTAACAACACTTCTATAAGCAATGCTAGCTTGCTAGGGCTCTATCCCAGCTATCATGGTCTCTGTCTCAAGGTTAACACACCGAGTAAGACTCAATGAAATTCCCCAATCCTCAGTCATTGAGGATAACACCCCACAATTTGTGGTCCTATTCATAAACTGATTTCGAGTTTGGCACGCTTCACTCGAAATGGAGTGGATTTGGTACACAATAGCACAAATTACATCATATGTCATAGGTACTTCTCAACAAATCATAGCACAGAAGTTAAAACCCTAAACATCTAGGCATGTTCCAAATGTGCAATGAAGAAACTAAAGGATTATCATATAATTCCTCAATTAAATAAAAAAATACACCTTTTTCATTCCATAATTTCACTACTGAATGTCATCTATCACATAAGTACTCTCTAACGATAAAATAAAGGCAGTAACTAATAATTTCACATAATTTCCAGAGTAATAAGCATTAAATTATTAACAAACATGCAAAAAGAAAAAAAAAGTAATAATTCCAGAATCTCAAAAATGATCCAATAATATAATTACAACATCAACACAGTCAACGAATCAGAAGCAACTAAACGTCACAATCCAAAACCTTTTAACCTTTCTACTACACATCCTAAACAACAAAACAAAAATACTAAGAAGCCAAATAGAAGAATATCAAATCATATCAAGGAATTGACGGTTGAACTCAGTGAGTACAAGACAAAACCTTATAAACGCGGAGGAGCGGGAGGAGAGATCTGGGGATAGGGTTTTGAAATTACCTGAAAATGCCTTTGGGGAGAACAGATCTGGAGAAAAGTGGGAGTGGAAACAACAGTTGAGAGTAACAGAAACTTCCTACTGAAGAAGGAAAGCTTGTTAACCTTCGCAGAGTCCCTGGTTGGCTCGTTTGGAATCATAAATTCGTTGCAACGAACAGGATTGGAGGGGTTATCCGTATAAACCGAAGAAAGAAGCACCGGATGATCTCCTCCCATCGAGCAGCATGCAAAGGTGTATCACTGTTCACACCAATCTGCAATGGAATCCAGCTTTAAGCTTTTCTTTGGTTTTAAAAATACAGCTCCACGCATAAAACGGTCTGTCACCTTTTTTCGCTGTGAGCAAGTCTTCATTGGGAAAGTACTTCGCTGCAGAACTTTGAAAATGAGCGATTGTTTCTGGTGCAGTAGTCTCCAGATTTGATTCCCCATTAAAGCATAGTTGAACAATTTTAAATCTTTAAAACCGATACCTCCATACTTCTTTGGTCGACAGATCTTTGACCGTGCAACATGCGCCCAACCTTGCTTGTGCTTCCCAGTCCACCAATACATTCTCATTTCCGGTATGATCGCGTCAACCAAACCTTCTGGTAGAAGGTAACAGGCCATCGAATAGGTTGGAAGGACTTGGGCAACCGCCTTTAGGAACACCTCGCGACCACCCATAGATAACAGATTTTTTGTCCATCCTCGAATGCGTTTGATGACTTTATCCTGAAGTTAACCAAACGAGGTCATCTTGTTCTTCCCGATAATCAGCGGTAAGCCAAGATAGAGGCCCGGTTCGGTCCCTTCTTGGACCCCAAGGATTCCTGATAGAAGTTGTCTATCACTCTCCTTCGTTTTTGTACTGAAATACACCAGTGATTTATCAAAATTGACCCTTTGACCCGAGGAAGCTTCATACTCACTCAGCACCATCTTTAATCTTCGTGCCTCTTGTTCCGAATTTTTAATAAAGAAGAGGCTATCATCAACGTAGAAAAGATGGTTGATTCGGGGGGCCCTTCGGCTCGATCTCACACCTTTAATTCGGCCATGAAGCTGGTAAGCAATAAGGGTAGCCGAGACTCCCTGGCTACAAAAAAGAAAAAGGTAAGGTGAGAGTGGGTCACCTTGTTTAAGCCCTCGCTGTGGCTTGAAAAAACCTGAAACTTGGCCGTTAATTCGCAAGCAGTACGAGACAGAAGAGATACAGGTTTATAAATCAACAGTCAAAACCCATCCTTCCCATAACATCAAGAATAAAACCTCATTCGAATTTGTCATAATCTTTTTCCATGTCAAGTTTAATAGCCGTCCCTTTATTTGGGCCATTTTTTTATCCCTTCAGATAATAGAAAAGTTCATGAACAACCACAAAATTATTTGAAATTAAACGACCAGGATCGAAGTCACATTGATTCTCAGCAATACACAAAGGCATGTAAGTCTTAAGACATTGACGATAGCTTTAGCAACAATTTTGTAGATAAACCGTGCACAACTGATCGGCCGAAAAAATTTCATTTGAGTTGGATTATCTACTTTTGGGATTAAGACAATAACAGTTCTATTGATTTCATCAAAACAAGCAGACCCATTCAAAAGGCTAAGGCATAAGGAAATCACATCATCACGGAAAACATGCCAATGAAAAATGAAACAAAACTAGCGGGTAAACCATCAATACCGGGAGCTTTTTGGAGGTTGATTTTGAAGAAAGCATCATGAACTTCCTTTGCTGTGAACTCCTTGCTAAGATCTGAATTGATCTCAGGGGTGATGCACTCATCAACAGCATCAAGAATCAGCTCCGAGATCCCGTTTCTATACGAAGTGAAGAGTCCAGTGAAGAAATCAGTGGCGACCTCAAAAACCTCATCTAAGTCCTCCTTCCGTAATCCATTCGAGTCAGCAATACCCCTTATCCAGTTTTTCTGCCTTCGCCCATTAGCAATTTAGCACGGGCATGAAAGAACTTGGTGTTCCTATCCCCGTTCTTCATCCACGCAACTCTGAATTTCTAAAGCCACATCACTTCCTCCTTTTCTAGGAGATCCTTTAGTTCTTTCGTAGCATCATGAAGACGTTGCACATTTCTTTCATTATTCGGTGCATCCACCAGAGAGGTGACAAGACCTTGAAGCTGTTTTTTTCCTCTTAAAAGCATCTTGTCTTTCATTAAACAGTGTTGCTGCTTTCCATGCTATGGAATCAACCTCGATGGCTGCAAAGATTTTCAACCGTCTAGGAGAACTCCGGCTCACGGAGGAAGAAGAACTTACGGCGAACAACCTGAATCTAAAGGAAGACTCCGAACGCCTGGGAACGAAAAATTGCTTCTTCAGCTTTCCATTGGCCCTCGCTTACGCCACTTAACTCACCGTTACCGATGCTGCTGTTGCTATTGCTGCTACTAACAGTAGCCATTGAAGCGCTGTAGGCAGCAACTTCTGAATGACGAAGGCAAAGCTGGGGTATTTGAGGTTTTCATGGTAAATAAATAGCGGCGGATCAAAAATCACGAATGTTAATATTATAAAATTTTTAAATAAAATGGGTATAAATAAAAAATTTATATTTTAAAGTAAGTATAAAAAATTTCAAATATATACCATCAATAAAATAAATAATTAATAAAAATTTTAGAATGGAAATATATCCATCCTGAGAAGGCCGTGGCTCTGCCACTGAAGTAAACTACTGTTGAGGTATATGTCCATTGCTATAATCATTAGGGATAATGGTAGTGGGGTAGGTAGGGACTCGATTATAAATCTGGAAATTTCTTTAGATCCATAATAGCAAAAATACCATTAGGGACCACTCCCTTGGGTTTAGTTACAACACCTTCCCTATTTGGAAACGTATCTCAAAACTTAACACTCTTCCAAAAGGTTAAGGTTTTTGGATGGCGTGCATGTCATGATGCTCTTCCAGTTGGACACAAGCTTACTGTTGTGGGTCTGGGAAATGGATCCTGCCAACTCTGCATTTAAGGGACAGAAACTACCCTTCATGCTCTTAAAGATTGCTCCTTTGCAAGAGGTGCTGTTGTTGCGGGTCTGGGAAATGGATCCTGCCAACTCTGCAATCAAGGGACTGAAACTACCCTTCATGCTCTTAAAGATTGCTCCTTTGAAAAAGAAGTGCTGCTTCTTTCGGGATTGGACCGGAAATTTGTTGAACTTCCTACTCCTCCTTGTAAGGCTTGGTTTGAAGAGGTAGCTTCCAAAATCGATTGTGATGCATTTGCTTGCTTTATCATTCTACTTTGGAATATGCGGAACACGCAACAAATGGTGTCATGACAACATTCTTCAACCAGCCGTCGAAGTGATCAATGTCGCATGTACCCTCGTGAGTGAGTTTAAGGAATCTACCCAAAACTCTCAAATTTGGGTTTTCAACAAGGAATTGCAAAGGAAATGGAAGCCGCTATCAGAGTGGTTGCTCGTGATCATCACGGCCATGTTATCGGAGGCGTTGCTCGAAAGCTTGACCGTGTCCATTCTATTGAGTCTACAGAGGTTGCAGCTTTCACTGAGGGGCTGAAATTTGCTAAGAACAATAGGTGGAAGCGGGTAACCATTGAAGGAGATGCAATCTCCATTGTGAATCGCTTGACAAATCTGACTAAATATATTTCTGTTATTGGATTACTGCTCAACGAGATTAGAGTGACCTTGGAAAGGTCATAATCCCTTAAGGTGTACTACGTCAACCGAGAAGCGAACTAAACAGCTCATGCCCTTGCCAAATTGGCTGTCAAGAACCAATCTACTTTAATTTTATATAGATGAACTGGAATGTATCAAACAATTTATAATCTTTGATGTCATTGGCATTTAAATGAAATTCACACATTCAAAAAAATATTGTCAATACTTGAACCCCCCACGTGGCGATTTCTCTCATTCTAACTCAGTATTTCAACTGTCGTTCTTCGGAACAGAGAGAACTGAGCATAGGAAATAAGGAAAATATTATATTGCAATGGCAAACCTGCCTCAGCCAACATCACAAATGCAAAGTTATGATTTGTACACTTAGCTTTTCCTTCGAGATCAAGTCATGCAACTAGAAACTATATCATCCTATGGAAGAAGGTTGAATTCGCTTCAACCTTCGGACAACTCGACTCATAGTTGGCCGGTTCGTGAGACTATCGACGGTACACGTGATGGCCAAGTGCAGCAGTTCTACCAAATAATCACGAGGACCTGTTTCCCATAACCTTGTAGTGAACACATCCTTTGCTTGACCCTGTCGCAGCAGCATGCAGGCCCAAGAGACGATATTGAAACCGTTTGCATGCGAGGAAAATGAAGGATCGAAAGCTTTCTTATCCGACATCAGCTCGAGCAGCACGATGCCGTAGCTGTAAACATCAGCCTTCTCGGACACACGGCATGTCATAGCATACTCGGGTGCAACATATCCGAACGTGCCGGCTACACCGGTTGTTGCGTGGGTTTCAGAGGACCCCAAAAGCCTTGATAATCCGAAGTCAGACAGATAAGCATTACAATCATTGTCCAACAATATGTTACTCGGCTTGACATCCCGGTGCAGCACCTTCGGGGTGCATTCATCATGCAGATAAGCAAGTGCATGGGCTATATCCAAAGCAATCTTGTGAATGATCTTCCAATCTACAGCTCTTGTGGACCTTTCCTTGATAAAATTTTCTAAATTACCACCCGGTAAATAATTATATAAGAGAAACATCTCTGATTCACTGGCATGGTACCCGATTAGAGTTACGAGATTAGGGTGCCTCATCGTTTCGAGTGTTTTTACCTCTGCATGGAACTGCTGAATACCTTGGAACCTTCCAACAGCAAGCTTTTTCACTGCCACTAGCGTTTCCGGAGCTACTTCAGCCACGTAAGTGGCACCGAAACCTCCATTTCCAATGCGTTTGCCAGCACTGAAATTCCCGGTTGCCTGGACGATAGTTTCATACGTCAGTGGAACCCCAATGTCGACAAAAACCGTAATTTCCCTTGATTCAGAAACCTGAACCCTGGACTTCGGGACCCATTTCCTGGTGTAAAAGAAGAGGATGACTAGAACTAGA